TGCAGTTGTTATTGTTGTCTAGCAGGCCCAGACCTTGGTGTATGTGGCCATCACCCTACCCACTGAGCTACAGGCACCACCCCCAAACTATTCTTGACATTGGCCTATGGAAAAGATTTTATGACTCAGACCACAAAAGCAAATACAATAAAAACAAAAAATAAATAAATGAGACTTAATTAAACTAAGAAATAACCTCTGCACTGCAAAAGAAATATACAGAGTAAATAGACAACCCAATAGGCTGGGACAGGTGGTTTGTGCCTATAATCCTTGCACTCTGGGAGGCCATGGTAGGTAGATTGCTTGAGCTTAGGAGTTGGAAATCAACCTGAGCCAGAGCAAGAATTCCATCTCTAAAAAAAAAAAAAAATAGCCCGGCACTGCGGGGGTTGCTTCTAGTCCCAGTTACTTGGGAGGCTGAGGCAAGAGGATCACTTGAGGCCAAGAGTTTGAGGTTGCTGTGAGCTGTGATGCCACAGTACTCTACCAAGGGCAACATAGTGAGACTCTGTCTCAAAATATATATATATATATATATGACTCCAAGGTGGATAATGTGCTGTTGACCAAACAGGATTGGAATAGGAGGAGTAAAAGAAGACTTTTTATTTGGACATGTCAAGTCTGAGATATCAGACTTAGAGTAAAAGAAAAAGTCATAAGCAAAGAAATTAGAAAACTTATATTGTCAATATGGCTGTGAAGCTTGGTTTAATACTTAAGAAGGATCCTTTGTAAAGCAAAAGGTATAATTAATAAATTATTAAAGGCCTGGCGTGGTGGCTCACCCCTATAATCTTGGCACTCTGGGAGGCCAAGACGGGTATGGTTTACCTGAGCTCACAGGTTCAAGATCAGCCTGAGCCAAAGCAAGACCCTTCCTCTAAAAATAGCTGGCATTGTAGCAGGTGACTGTAGTCCCAGCTACTTGGGAGGCTGAGGCAAAAGAATCACTTGAGCCCTAGAATTTGAGGTTTCTGTGAGCTGTGATGCCATGGCACTCTACTAAGGGCAACAAAGTGAGAGTCTGTCTCAGAAATAAATAAATAAATAGTTAATAACCTGGAACCTAAATCTCTATGATTTCAACAAAGCACTTCTCCATCAGAAGTCTCCCTTTTGTTGTTTGTTTTGTTTTGTTTTCAGGCAGAGACTCACAGCCCTAGGTAGAGTGCTATGGCATCATAGCTCACAGCAATGTCAAACTCTTGGGCTCCAGTGATCCTCTTGCCTCAGCCTCCTAAGTAGCTGGGACTACAGGTGCCCAACAATGCCTGGCTAGTTTTTCTATTTTAAGTAGAGACAGGGTCTCCCTCTTGCTTACACTGATCTTGAACTCCTAAGCTCATGCAGTTCACCTCCCTCAGCCTCCCAGAGTACTAGATTACAGACGTGAGCCACCTCACCTGGTGGAGGAATCTTTCATTATGAAAAAAACAAATTTTCACTGTTTCAAAGCCATCTGTAGTCTCCTGATTTTTTTCCTTCTTCAGCAGCCACTCCTCAGATTGTTATGTTCATGGCTCCTGACTTTCCTGTCCTCTTAATACTTCTTGCCCTATGACTCATTTCTGTATTCACTACCTAGTGATCTCATCCAGTCTCCTAGCATTATATACCATCTGATTACTGATGCTTCCAAATTTCTATCAACTGCCAATTTTTCCCATGAACTTTAGAATTGTATATGTGTTTTCAAATTTCACATTGCCACTGGGCTGTCTAATACATCAAAGTTATATGTCCAAAATCAAGCCCTGATCTTCCCTCACAAGCAAGTGTGCATCTCAACTCAACTGACAGCACCTCCATCCTTACATTTGCTTAGGCCAGAAACTTTGAAGTAATCCTTGTCTCCTCTCCTCTCCTCTTTTCTCTTTCCTGTCTCTCCTCTCTCTCTCTCTTTCTCTCTCTCTCTCAAACACACACACCCATGCATGCATGCACACACACAGTCAAACCATTAGCAAATTGAGGCCAGGCTTAATGTCTCGTGCCTGTCATCCTAATACTCTGGGAGGCCAAGTCAGGTGGATTTCTAGAATTTAGGAGTTTGAGACCAGCCTGAGCAAAAGCAAGAACTTGTCTCTACTAAAAATACAAAAAGTAGCCGAGTGCTATGGAGGGTGCCTGTAGTCCCAGCTACTTAGGAGGATGAAGCCAGAGGATCTCTTGAGCACAAGAGTTTGAGGTTACTGTGAGCCTTGATGCCAAAGCACTATAGTCAAGGGGACAGAGTAAGACTATCTCAAAACACAAAACAAAACAAAATGAACAAACAAAAACCATCAGCAAATTCTACTGATTCTACCTCCAAAACCTAACCAGAACCCAACAATTTTCACTGCCTCCACCACTACCTTAGAGGTCCAAGCTACCACTACCTGTCATCTGACATCTGGTTATTCTCTCTCTCTCTCTTTTTTTCTGAGACAAACTCTCACTCTTTCCCCCCAGGCTAGAGTGTAATGGCATCATAGCTCACAGCAACTTCAAACTCTTGAGCTCAAACCATGCTCTTGCCCCAGCCTCCCAAGTAGCTGGGTCTACAGGCACCTGCCGCCATGAGACCTGGCTAGTTTTTCCTTTCTTTTTTTTTTGAGTCTCATTTTGTCACCCTCCGTAGAGTGCTGTAGTGTCATAGCTCACTGCAACCTCAAACTATTGTGCTCAAGCAATTCTCTTGCATGAGCCTCCAGAGTAGCTGGGACTACAGAAGCCTGCCACAATACCTGACTTTTTTTTTTTTTTTTTTTTTTTGAGACAGAGTCTCAAGCTATCGCCCTGGGTAGAGTGCCATGGCATCAAGCTCACAGCAACCTCCAACTCTTGGGTATAAGGGATTCTCTTGCTGCAGCCTCCTAAGTAGCTGGGACTACAGGCACCAGTTGTTGTTGTTGTTGCAGTTGTCGTTGTTGTTTTAGCTGGCCCAAGCCAGTTTCGAACCCAGCAGCCTCATTGTATGTGGCCAGTACCCTACCCACTGAGCTACAGGCGCCACCAACTCAGCTATTTTTAGAGAGAAGGTCTTGCTACAGCTCAGGTTGGTCTTGAACCCATGAGCTCAGGCAATCCACCCACCTTGACCTTCCAGAGTGCTAGTTTTTCTATTTTTAGTAGATGGAGTCTCTCACTTGCTCAGCTGGTCTTGAATTCCTGACCTCAAGTGATCCTCCTGCCTCAGCCTCCCAAAGGAGAATTACAGGCATGAGCCACTGCACCCTCCTTGGTTATTCTCTCCATACTGATCTCCCAAGATCCTTCTTTTATTTCTCTGCAGTACACTCTGAACATAGTATCCAGAGTGATTCGTATAAAACGTTAAGTTATCAAGAGATCGTGTCACTCTTTATGCTGAAAACAGTACAGTGTTTCTCTTCCCACTATGAATATAAGGCAAATTCCTTTCCTTACTTAAGAGGAAACCATGGGCTGAGTGCAGCAGCTCATGTTTGTAATCCAGCACTTGATATGCCAAGACAGAGAGACGGCTGGAGGCCAGGAGTTTAAGACTAGCCTGAGCAATGTAGCAAGACTCTGTCTCTACGAAAAATAGAAAACTGGGCCAGACATAATGGTTTGCGGCTGTCCTCTCAACTATGTGGGAGACGGAGGTGGAAGGATTGATTGAGCCCTGGATTTTGAGGCTGCAGTGAGCTATGATGGCACCACTGCACTCTAGCCTGAGTGACACAGGGAGACTCTGTCTAAAAAAAAGAAAAGCAAAAGAGGAAACTGAGATACAGAAAGCTTAGATAACTTGTCCCAAGCCACGTAGTCACATTTAAACTTAGTCTAACTCTAGAGACCAAATGAACCACTCTGCCTCTCATTCATGTTAATATATACTTCAAATATTTAAAACATTACATTTTTATAAGTTATTTAGAGGCTATAGATTCTGTACAATAATTTTTCTACTTGTTCTCTTATTCCAGAATCATGCTATTTAAATCGTCATGGGTGTTTAGTTTCAGTATCTGAAAGTAGTCTAGGGCTTCACTATTTTCTTTTTCAGATTTTTCTTTCTTTTTTTCTTTTAATAATTACTTCCTGTTTATTCTTCAAGTAAACTTTCACAATAATTTTGTTCAACTAAAATTTGGGGTTAGAGGACTTGGGTTAAAAATGCATTACATTTATAAATTAAATGGAAGAGCATAGGCGGCACCTGTGGCTCAGCGGGTGGGGCACTGGCCCCAAATACCAAGGGTGGCGAGTTCAAACCCGGCCCCTGCCAAACTGCAGACAAAAAAATAGCTGGGCATTGTGGCAGGTACCTGTAGTCCCAACTACTTGGCAAGAGAATCACCTAAGCCCAGGAGTTGGGAGTTGGAGGTTGCTGTGAGCTGTAATGCAATAAAGTGAGACTCTGTCTCTAAATAAATAAATAAATGGAAAAGCATTCAGTGTTCTCATCCATAAAGTGCTGTATTTCTTCAAGTGTTTTAAAAACCTATCAATACTTTGTTATAATTTTTTAAAAATAGGTAACATTTATTGAATTTATTCTCTTTTTTTGCAGTTTTTGACTTGGGCTGGGTTTGAACCTGCCACCTCCGGCATATGGGGCTGGCACCCTACTCCTAGGCGCCACCCTATTGAGTTTATTCTTAAATGTGTTATAATTCTTGTGGAAGTATGTCTTATTATGTTTCTAATTATTACGGGTAGATAGGAATGCTATATTTACTCATATATAAGATTGTTTTTACTGAAATGTGATATAAAAATTACTGTTCGAAAGCTCCCAAAATAGAAAAGGCATACATCTTATTCAATAAGTTCAAAATATCCCCCCCAAAATTGGGGTCAATATGATAGGCTACACGGAAAGCATGTCATTGTTCTTTGTTGTTTACGTATGTTTTAGTTTCATTCAAACTGTCGTCACTGCTGCATTTTCACCTAATATTTCCCATAATGAGAGAGGACGGGACATGTTGGTGACTGCAGGAAGGGCCACCTCCCTCGTATTACGTTGCTCTCTGTGACCCATCCTAAGTCTCACAGTTCAAGCTAATCATTGACAGAGCTTTACAATCACAAGCTCTTACTGAAGCGTTGATAAGACAGTCCAGCAGTTGGTGGCAAATGAAACCAGGCTGTGCGGCTGGATCTCCAGGGAATGAATGGATTTTCTTCAGCACCGATGAAAGAACCATACGGTATAGGAAAACAATGTCCAACGGGGGGCTGCAAAGATCCGTCATCCTGTCAGCATTTCTTGTGCTGCGAGCTGTTACTGGATTCCCTGGAGACGGAAGAGCTATATGGTCTAAAAATCCTAATTCTAGTCCGGTAAATGAAAGTCAGCTGTTTCTCTATGACACTTTCCCTAAAAACTTTTTCTGGGGTGTTGGGACTGGAGCATTCCAAGTGGAAGGCAGTTGGAAAGAGGACGGAAAAGGACCTTCTATTTGGGATCGTTTCATTCATACACACATGAAAAATGTCAACAACAGGAATGGTTCCAGTGACAGTTACATGTTTCTGGAAAAAGACTTGTCAGCCCTGGATTTTATAGGAGTTTCTTTTTATCAATTTTCAATTTCCTGGCCAAGGCTTTTTCCTGATGGAATAGTAGGAGCCGTGAACACGAAAGGTCTCCGGTACTATAATACCCTTCTGGATGCACTAGTGCTTAGAAACATTGACCCTGTAGTTACTTTATACCATTGGGATTTGCCTTTGGCGCTACAAGAGGAATACGGGGGGTGGAAAAATGACACTATGATAGAGATCTTCAATGACTATGCCACATACTGTTTCCAGACGTTTGGGGACCGCGTGAAATACTGGATTACAATCCATAACCCCTACTTAATTGCTTGGCATGGGTATAGGACAGGTATGCATGCGCCTGGAGAGGTGGGAAATTTAGCAGCTGTCTACACCGTGGGACACAACCTGATCAAGGTACGTACGGCCAACTTCTTATTATAGCTTCAGAAAACATCAAGCAATCGTCCTCTTGTTTAAATACCTCTCCTTACTGAAATCAATGCAACTAATTGCAGGCCAATCCACAAGATCTAGCTTCACATTTTATATTTAAATCAGTGTATATTTTATTTACCTAAGGTATTATGATTGTATTAATCCAATTAGTTTCCTCAAAAATTGCACTTTGAGGTTATTTTTAAATTTATAATGATACAGTACAGTTTGAGTTTCTTTCCATCCTCTGGGAAACCAGCATTCTGTGAATTTAATTGTTGGAACCCTTTTCTGACGACAGGCTACATTTCAGAATTATGTGAAGCCACAACCATTGCAAATGTGTATTTGTTGTTAGTACAACTATTCTTAACAGCATCTAGCTGTAGTACACTAAATAAATGTTAGCTAATTCATACATATGAATGACTGAAATTAAAATAAATCTGCTTTGCATTTGATTTTATTTGTGTTACATGGCAGAAGGGATGAGACTAATTGTTCTGGGAGTTAAAATTGAAATAGTATTTAAAAACTGGGAAGAATATGCTCTACTACACCAGTTTTAAACCAGCCTATTTAAACAGGCAGCTATTATGGTGGGGAAATGACATGTCAAAATTATTAAAATAATAGTGAAAATGCAAGCAAAATAATAGCTAGTATTTCTTGAGTGCTTATTATGTCTCACAGACTACATTAAGTATTTACAGGCATTGTTACTGTTGATCCTCATAATATGTACTAGCCCTATCATAATTCCCATTTTAAAGATGAAGAAACTGAAGTTTAGTAAGATTAAATACTTTCCCTAAGGTTGCAGCTATTGTGAACATGGAATTTACAAATGATAATATTCTTTCTACTGTCTTCATTAAGAATAGTTTTAAATTTCTCTCTTGCAGCAATTTTTGAGAGACTGAGCCTCATATTGAGGCTACTATCTATAAAAGATTTAATTTTTTGCATCAAATAATTTACTTCAGAAAAATAAATGACTCTAAATATCTGTTACACTTTAAAAATGAAAAAACTTTACCAATATGATTTTATATAATGTGCAAGGGAAGTAATTTTTAATAATCAAAAGTGAAAAAGTGAAAAAAGCACAGAAACATAAAACTATTCATATCTAAATTTGTACACACAAAAATATCTGCTAACCTTTCTTTTCTTTTTGAACTTTTTAGATTATTATATATATGCATTGCATTATGGTTTTAGTCACATTAACCCTTGCATTAAGCAGATTGCATTATAATTTAAAGGTCATTTGCAAATTTATGTATATAGAATGTATTATTAACATGTGAGTATACTATGATTTGGAAAAATAAAACCTTAAAGGAGGAAAAACTTGTAGCTATTCAATAGCTATTAAGATTATACATACAAAAATTAGAAAAATTTTCTTTTTATCTAATTCTTTTAACTATTAAAACAATCCATGCTTTTGTAAATTTGAAAACACCAAATTGTACCAAAGGATATAAAATGAAAAAAATAAATCCTTCTCTCCCTCTCTACTTGACCATCCAAACCCAAGGAGACTAATGTTAATAATTTCTTATATATCTTTTAAAATTTTTCTATGTAAATATATACACATATTTGTTTATGTAACCTTTGTATAAAGAAAAATATTCCAAATTGTCGAAAATTTCTGTTACCTGGAAAAATGTCAACAATTAGAATTTTCATGAAAAATATGTTTTAATGATTAATTTAAAGCCTTAAAATTTGGCCATCTGATAAAAATAAACAGGAAAAGACTTTACCTAGAATAGTTATTGCTTCTAAACATAGCTGATAAAAAGTCATATTTTCAGATGTTTTTCATTTTCCTCTACTTTGAGATAAGCTCTACCTTTAATGCAAAATCAGCATTATCTGCTAGTGAGACAAATTTTACTTTAAATTGAGACATTTGTTTTTAAACTATTGCGTTTTCCAAATTTTTTTAACTCTCCTTAACATTTCTAAATCACTGGCCTAAATAAATGGTGCGAGGGGTCCCTTAAGATCAGTCAGAAAGTGAAACATGCTACATAACCCAGTGACTTATCTCACTAGAGAGAAATCTTGCAATGGTTTGGTATCCTGAGGTGAACTGGTTTCTCCCACTGCCCTTACTGTATCATAGAAGAGATTAATTTAATATTTTATGTGGCAATGAAATCCTTCTTCCTTATTGTGCCCCCTGGTGACCCAGAAGAAGCATATGCTTTAGAATTAGTTTTTAGTCCAAAAACATTTATTGAGCTAAATAAGCCTAATATAAAACTAAATTTGTGGGTAGTTATAGACTCCTTAGTTCTCCAATTCTCAGATACCAACAAGGTTTCACAGTGGATTTGCAGATGGCAACAGGATTTCATAGTGGCTCTTGAGGTCCTTGTAGTTCCAGAATGATCTTGATAACTACATTTCAGTTTGACCTGTCCCAGTTTAGAGGAAACCTGAACGGCCCAACGGGTCCCAACACTGACCTGGCATTGCAATTGCACTTTATGGCAGCTCTAGGGTTACCTTAGAGTCTAAGCCTTGGGTAAAAATTTCCTATAATTTGGTTTGGGGCCCACAGCACAGTGGTTACAGCTCCAGCCAATGCACTGAGGGTGGCAGGTTTGAACCTGGCCCAGGCTAGCTAAACAACAATGACAACTGCAACCAAAAAATAGCTGGGTGTTGTGGCAGGCACCTGTAGTCCCAGCTCATTTGGGAGGCTGAGGCAAGAGAATCGCTTAAGCCCAAGAGTTTGAGGTTGCTGTGAGTTGTGATGCCACAGCACTCTACCAAGGGTGACATAGACTCTTTCTCAAAAAAAAAAAAAAAAAAATTCCCATAGTTACACCTACTAATGGATGCTCCACCCCGAGTTGGTTTTGTTTGTTTGTTTTTTAATTTCAGATTAATGTGAGAGCTCAGACAATTAGGTTACAGTATTTGCATTTGTTACGTAGAGTCCTTGTAGTGTATCCTGCACCCGGGAGATGTGCCATATACCCTTACATTGTGCCTATGAAGTGGGAGCACACCAACCCTCCTCCTCCCTCCTTCCCTCTTCCCCCTCCCTCCTTCCTCCTTCCGCCTTCTTCAGTTGAATTGATTTTTTTTTTCTTGTGTGGAGCCATCTATTAGCTTGTCTACCCAACTCTGAGTTTTTAACAGTATTTGGAACAAAAAGAGGCTGCTTGTTTTGGCTTGTTCTCCTTTAAGCACAGTAACTACCACTTTAAATATTGTCTATGACCTTTGCAACAGCCAGGTAACTAGTATCCTCATCTTACACAGTGATTTTTCTAACATGTATCAGGTAGTTCCCCTGCATAAAACCCAGTAGTGGCTCCCCCAAACTTTTGGGATAAAGTCCCAGTTTTTCGCCAAGACTTTCAAGACACAACTCCTAGCCTCTGCTCCAGCCTGTTTCCTGGCCACTCTCTTATCCCAGTACCAAAGCTATCCCCTCCCATCCCACATTCCATTATAATCAGCTACTGGCAGCGTCTCAGTCTTACCTTCCTATTCCTCTCCAACCAGCCTCTACTAGCTCACTCTGTGCAGCCAAAATACCCTCCTTACTCCCCTGCTTTGCCTGTTTAATGTCCTTGAAGACTCCTTTGACAGTCACCACCTATAAGTTATTCTGACCCTTTAGGGGTCAGTGCCCCTTTGGTGGGCTCCCATGAGATATGCTTGTTTCTGGCATTGCGCTCACACCACATGGTACCTTCCTGTCTCCCCAACTAGACTGAGAATTCCTTGAAAGGAGAGAAAATTGTGTATTTGTCTGTGCACCCAGTCGAGCACAGAATATTTGGTTCATGTTAGGTACAGATGTTGGTGAATGAATGGTTTAGAGTGGGTTTTCTATCTTAAGCCTTATAATCAAAAACTAATCTAAATTCAATCTTCATGTTTATTATTTGTATTACATATTGCTAAGTCTTAAAATATAGTCTGTATTAATCTACCAGTATATTACTCAGGACTTTTTTTTGAGACAGAGTCTCACTTTGTCACCCTTGGTAGAGCACCGTGGCATCACAGCTAACCTCAAACTCTTGGGTTCAAGCAATTCTCTTGCCTCAGCCTCCCAAGTACCTGGGATTACAAGTACCTGCCACAATGCCTGGCTATTTTAGAGACATCTCGCTCTGGCTCAGGCTGGTCTCAAACCTGTGAGCCCAAAGTGCTAAGATTACTTATGAGCCACCGCACCGGCCTTTATTCAAGATTGTTTTGGTTGCAAGTGACAGAAACCCAATTCAAGTTGGCTCAAGCAAAATGGATTAACCTTTTTGCTCTGTAAGCAACAAGAGGGATGAGTGGACTCAGTAGCCAGCGCACCTGCAGAAGGCCCTTCATCTCAGTCTTTCGTGTCCATTTATTCTTGTGGGTTGGTGTAATTTTCTCCTTTGTAGAGGAAAGTTTTCTCTCTCCCAAGTTTGGTTTTTAAAATCCCAGAGACAGATTTGGCCTGTTCATCAAAGCCCCAAGGGTTTGCAGTAGTAAAAGCAGTATGGTGTCTGTTTTCAGATTTCTCAATCAATAAATAACACGTAAGAATTTAAATTTGTAGATTTTCCTTTCGGAATGGAACATTTGAGATCCTGTGATTAAACATGCACAGGGCTGGGGAGGATGAGTTTGCTCATGAGACAGTTACTCATTCCATTTGTTATTCCACTAAATCCTGCTAGTTTTGACCATTTCCTGGCTTTACAATGTTATCTTTCATAGATAGATTCTGTTTACATAGTACAATGATTTCTGAACTTCAGCACTACTGGCATTTGGGGCCAGATAATTCTTTGCTGTGGTGAGCTGTCCTGTGCATTGTAGGATGTTCAGCCTCTATACCCCTAGACAACAGTAGAACCTCCCACTTCCAGGGTTGTGATAACCAAAATGTCTCCAGACATTGCCAAATGTCCCTTGGCAGTCAGCGTTACTGCCCCTTCCTCTAGTTCTTGAAA